ATTAACAAACAAACTAATTCTATTGGTTCAAAATATACGCTGACTAAGCAAAATAAAGTTCTAGAATATTTTGTTGAAATGTTATAGTAATTGTAATATTCACGATTTGTTACATTTTGAGATTTCTAGCATTAATTGTTTTAGGAATATATATTATTTGTTTACGAAAATAAATATTTTAAATATATATTAACTAAATTGTCAAAATTTTAAAAGTTTATTATAAATTATAGATTTTCTTAGTATATTATTTCTTATAGTATATTCTTATTTTTTATTTAAAAAGTATGTATTTTTTATTTAAATTTTGTGTATCGTAATATATCTTTTAAAGCAATTTTTATGATTTAAACAAAGACTTACAAAAATAATTGTGTTTTCAATGAAGTTATAATCGTAAAAGTTAATAAAACTAGTTATGTAACAAACATATAAGAAGTTTCTGGTTACTAAACACAAACAACGCACACAAAGTAACTCGTGGATGAACAAGCAGCGCGCCTGAGGTCACGACAGAACACAAATATATATAGCAAATAATTAGATATAAAAAAAAGTTTCTAGATATTGAATTACTAACTCTAGTTATTTTCGTTTAAGTTGCATTCTTAAAACTCGTTATACTTTTTTCTACTTTAAATACTAATTAAAATTAAAAGCCCACTTACTAAACATCATCAGCGATATTGTGAAGCAGTTTCGCTTCCTCATCATAAAGTATTTTGTGATAGCAATATAACCTTTTTAGTTGATTTCTATCTTGTTAACTTAATTTTTATAGTAATTCAATGATTAAATTATTTCATTTGTTTATCTTACTAAGAAGAATTGCTTCAAATATGTTAAATTTTTCAAACTACGTGAAACATAAAATAGGTATTAAAAAATTAACTTTTTTATTTATAAAATAATTTAGCTTAAATAAAACTAAAACTTGAAAACTTTGTTAAATAAAGAACAATAAAGAACATTTGTTTCCTTTTTAAACGATCGTAAGATGTTATAGACTTTATATAAAAAACATTGCTTAACTTTATAAAAAAAATTATTTGTTCTAAACGTAGCTTTAAGTTTTTTCGCGTTTAAAGATATTTTATTTGCCTAACTTTTTTTTTTTTTGTAATTGTCTTTCATTGGTCCTATTAATCTTTTGCGCTTTTTTTTTTTGCTTTCTCAAAACGACTAAAAAATCTGGCCAGCTTTTTTACTAATATTATTTATGTGGTCAGCAATCAAGAGCAATCACTCTCGCTTCCCGACCAAACCTGATAATACATGATACATAACTTTACATAAAAATTACCAAATCTTTTTTTAAAAACATTATTTTTTAAAAACTTTTGAAATATAATTAAATTGAAATTTCGAAAAGTTTTCTCTATATTTTGAAATTAAGGTGATTTTTGAGACCATAACTAATAACGCAATAAAACATACATCAACAAATAAGATTGTTGAAAGCTCCTAGTTTAAAAAAAACAACCTAAAACATGATTACTACATATATACAACATACATATCTATATACATTCCAACCACATATTATCTATTAAAAGAAAATATTATCTAAATAAGGATGAGTTCAAACAAAGATAATTTATCTATAAAAAAACAAAAAACATGCAAAACAATGTAATAGGCTGTATGTGCATATGGGTGTATAGGTGTAATGCATAAGTCTGTGCTGTTCATGTGCTGTTCATGTCATAGTCATACTTCAGATGGATTTAACACCTATGCATGGATTTATAACTGACTTCTGATTCGGCAACAGTAATCGTGAAAGTAATCGTGTTTTGAAAATAGTCGTGCTCAATGACCGTAACAATAACCCGTATGGGCTAGGGCCATTATTATTATTTAAAAATTTGGCATATAAATTTGCTAAATGGTCACAAATGAAAAGTAAATGCCTGAGGGAAAAATGAAGTACATTAGAATAGAGGATAACTATTTTTCAAATAAATCATATTTGACAGTTGTCAAGAAAAAAATTTAATAGAAGAATATTAAAATTAATACAACAAAAATAAGACAGGCTACCAAACAATACTTACCATTATAAAATTGAAAAAAATATATATTTTTACAAACACTTAAAATGAATAAACATATACAACAAATATATCACCAAACAAAAACATACAAAACAAAATAAAAAGTATCTATATAACAATGCAAGGCCTAACAATGGAAAAAAAAATTAATGCTAATGTGTAAACATTATTTGTGTAGTGGTTAAAAATAAACATTTCCTCAGAGCCATGTCAATTATTTTAAACCTTTTCTAAAAACAAAACAAATATGTAATTTTAAAATATAAATACATTTTTAGGCATATTTTAAAAAATGTATTTCAGAAAATTTTATGAAAAGATTGTAAAAGAGAGTTTATTGTTACTTCTTTTTTAGTAAACAAAAACTTCTTTTTCAAAAAAAAAGAAAAAATAATTAGTGGACTTTACTTTAAAAATAAAATTTTGCAGATATTTTGAACAAAGCCGAAAAAAAAAGTAAAAAATAAAAGTAAAAAAAAAAAGTAAAAAAAAGCTTAACGATTAAAAAGTGCAAGATTAAATTGCTCAATTTAAGTTTTTTTTTTTTAATCATAATTGTTTGTATTCGAAAAGAAATCATCAATTCAATATAATACACATAATATAAAATCTGATAACAAGAAAAAAATGCAGAATACTAAAATAACAAGGCTTTTTTTTCTTTTCATAAATAAATTAATAATGTATAGTAAGTTGAATTATTTATGTGCTGGCCGACTGGTAGTCACCCATGCGCAACATGGTACTAACAGAAACATGTTGCGCATGGATGGTGTTCCTGTTTGTACTTTTGGTGAAAACTATCACAATTGGAGCCCTTTGTTATGGCTTAGGATTTATTAATAGTAATGAGGCAAATGTTTGGACTATTAAATAGTATATTGAGTACTATCTGTGCTTTGATTCAAGTTCTTTAACAAATCCAAAAATGACTAAAGTATTAAAAACTATAAAACACAAAAAACCATCGTCATCGCCAAGTTCTCTAAATCTACCATTCTGTAATAATGGACTAATTTGAATTTAGCTGAAACATAATGTGATCTTAGTGTTGATGGTTATCTTCTTTTAATTTGTAAAGACTCCAATAGTCACATGGTTGCCTCGGACATTTACATTTATAAGAATTCGTCTGTTAGAAAAAAACTTCATGAATTGAATCTGTGGATTCATCATTCTGTGGAATCCAGACTCTTCTTTAATAAGCTTTTGTTTACCTATACTTCACTCTATAAACTTTACTCTATCACCTTTTTTTTTTTTTTTCTATATAGATTTTTTTTATCTCAAGACTGTACTCTTTTTGATGTTATTTCTGATCAAATTGATCTTTCTTCTGTTAGTGACTTTAATGCTCATCACATCAAATGCTCATCATATCAAATGCTCATTATATCAAATGCTCATCACATCAAATGCTCATCACATCAAATGCTCATCACATCAAATGGTTCTAGTCTCAGTGGCTCTACAGGTATTGAGGTCCATATTTTTTCTAGACAATCCATGGTTCATCCAAGGTCCATGGTTTTCTAGACAATCCAAATCATTCACCTTCTCTACTCGACTCATGTCAAGTTTCTAATCCTAGTCAGTGCTTAATTTTTCCACATTCACCAATAAGCGCTTATGATCACTCTCTAAAAACTCTCTAAAACTATTACCTCATTCTTCTTCATCATTAGAGTCCCCTTATCATCATACCTTATATAACTACCTTAAAGCTGACTGCAACTCTGAGATTTTCTTCGTGATGAGAAGGCTCTTAAAACTCTCTAAAACTATTACCTCATTCTTCTTCATCATTAGAGTCCCCTTATCATCATACCTTATATAACTACCTTAAAGCTGACTGCAACTCTGAGATTTTCTTCGTGATAAGAAGGCTCTTATGTAACTTTTTGGATTAAGGCTGGCATGGAATCTTTTATTCTCTCTAGACGATTCCAAGTCAAGCCTTATTTTTCACCATGGTTTTTATCAAATTGTGTTGCAGCAATTTCCAATTATAACCATTACTTTCATATCTACCACTACAATAATTATCCAGAAAAGAAAGCCTTTGATAAAGTTTGGCATGCTGGTCTTCTCCATAAGTTTTCTTCTTACGGTTCTTGTAGCCAACCTCCAAATTTGCAAAAAAGTTGAAAAAAAATGTTGCTTTTCTTTCTCTTTTCTATAAACAGTATAGTATAAGCTAGTGTCTCTTGTGCCAATTATTAATATTAATTCTCGTGTTACATTCATTACTATGACTGTTCTGAAGTGCTCCAAAAATTCTTTAACGTCTAGTTTTTTTCCTCAAACCTTCATCTTATTTTCCTGATTCATATAATTTTTTCATTGATTCATATAATCTTTTAAGCTGTCTGTTAATCATTATCTTGCTTTATAAACTTTATCCTTCGCATCCAGTTACTTCCAACTCTAATAGTGGTTGGTTGCAGCCTTGTTTGAAGTGAAGATATTTACAAAAAAAATAATAATAATAATTATCATAATTTTTTTTTCATCTTAACACAAATTTTGTTTTATGTATACGAAAAAGTATTTGACTTGCTTGTCCCTTAACAAAATATCTATATAGGCTAAAATTATTTAAATATTTTTCTTATCCTAAAACATCCTAAAATCTATCAAAATCAGAGATAGAAAAGCTATTGTGGTCGAGTGTAATAATTACATCAAACAATAAAATAATGCAATATGAAGTAATAAAAAAACACATTTAAAAAATAAATAATAAATTAGCAGTAATTAATAAAAAAAAATTCAAATCAATGAAGAGCTTTGCAGGTAAAAAATATTTTATTGGGTATGGCATAGGGCACAAATGAACATTTAAAAATGGTAAAAAATCCTGCTATATTGCTACTACGTTAAAGCTCAAACAGTGACATACTAGAAGGTAAAAAACAAGAGAAAAGTTCTTAAAAAAGCTACCTTTGTCAGTTATAACTTTTTTAAGAATGAATTTTGTATTTTCTTTACCATTGTTATTAAAAGTCTTTTGCTGCTTCAAAATTTCTTTCCATTGATTAGGCTAGCAAAAAAAAAATCTTTCTGTTATTTGGTATAACAAGCCAAATATAAATATTTTCTTCCCTTGTTTAATTTAATAAGACAAATATAAAGATTTTCTTTTATTGTGCTAACAAAAAACCAATAAAAAAAAAGTAGCATTCTCTCTGCTTTATTTGTAATTACATTTATTTATATATTTTATATATTTAAAATATAAAGCATAAAACAACAGCTGCGTACAAACTCAATTTTTTCTTCGTAATATTTCGATCTGTGCAGATTGTCATTAGAAATAAAATATAATACAAAAAACTGTTACAAATATTATATAAAAATGTCAAAGAAGACATGAAAAAAAAGCCATGAATAAATAACAACATAAATATAATATATATTATTTATGTAAGTATTTGATAGTATTAAAAAAGAATTTGTTTTAAAGTTATAAATTTTACATGTGGAAAATAGAAAGAAAAGAAAGTGTAAATTACTCCTAAGTAATAATATTATATTTTATATTGTGATAATTCACTACTCTAACGCCTAAACACACATACATACTCACGTAGAATATTAGAATATTATATATATATATATATATATATATATATATATATATATATATATATATATATATATATATATATATATATCGATTAGTAAAAATGAAATAATACAAAAACCTTTAATAGGATACATTTTTTATACCTAGTTACTAGTAAACACCGCTCACATTGTTTTATTTTACTCATTTTGCTGAATATTAAGTATTTTATCAAGTTAAATTTTAAATTTTCTAAAATAAATGTTTCTATTGAGAAACTACAAACCCGAAGATTAAATAAACAATCAACTCCTATATATCAGTAGTGTTAAATAAGATTTTTTTGTATATAAATATTTTGAACAAAATAAAAACTAAATTAGTTGCAAATCAATTTGCTAAAAAAAAATATTCTATAATATATATATATATAGACTAATATAAATAATTAAATATATATATATATATATATATATATATATATATATATTACATATACTTATAAATAGGACAAACACACATGCACGCACATACAAGCATGCACACACAAGCACATGTACACACAAGTAAGTGTGTATTTGTTTCATAATTAATCCTAAAGGATTTTGTTAAACTTTTATGTTTTACTGTCTTAATAATAATGTAATATGTGTTAAACTAACAAATACTATATGATTTAACAATTGATAAAAAAACTTAAAGAAGATTACCTGATAATGCTTTATGAAAATATCCATGTTTATTTTTACTGAATCATTTATACATTTGCACTAAATAAAATAACAAATCCTTAATTTTATACATACATACATACATAAATATATATATATATATATATATATAAATATATATATATATATATATATATATATATATATATATATATATATATATATATAAATATATATATATATATATATATATCAGAGCTCGAAATAGTTGCCAGACATTGTCCGCCACTTACCCGGTAAAAAACGACATCTACCAGTCATTTTGTCGGACCCATATTTTGTGTGTTCATTTATTTTACTATCATTTTAGTTGATCCAAAATTATTAGTAAATTCAGTGTAGTATATAAACTTTACTTTTTGAATTTTTAATTTTTTACACAAAAAACAGAAAATGAAGTTGAACAACTAAATATTTTAATAAAATATGTCATCTTTCTGAGCTATTCATTTTTAAAAAACATCTGGGCATTTCCAAAAAATTACGCACGGAAACTCGTATTTGTTTTTACTTTTATTTTCATAATAATAAAACTAGCGATCTTCAATTTACTCTCATTTAATTCTAATCAATATAAATATTTTGTAAACCAAAAATAGTAAGCATTAGTAATGTTAACAAAGAATAAATAAAATTTGAAATGGAATCACGCACGGAACAGAAAAACTTCTATTTTAGTTACTAGATAAATAAACTTTAATTCCTTAAAAAATATAAGTTTCACTGGTATACTTTTTTTTTTTTAATATTTTAAACATTAGTAAAGAATTCCAGAAAGTTACAGGATTGCACTATGAATCATAGAGTCACAGCAACCGTTTAAATGCAGTATATGAATGATCATGCACCGATGTTGCGAATTTGTCAATTTCATTTAGTTATTTTTACGAAAATAAATTGCTTGTGAGTATTTCAAGTAAAATATTATACTTCTATGACTCATATTTAATATATTTTTGATGAGAAATGGGAGTCATCAATTATTTATAGCTAGAGTATGGCGTTTTGAAAATTATTGTATATTTTACAAAATGTAGCAATATTATTACTCAAAAAAATAAAATTGTAAAAATGTGTATATTTAATTTATTCAGATAGTCTAAAATATGATAAAAATATTTTTGTTATAATTGTTCTTTAAGAAAATCAAAATAGTATGCATATTGCATAAAGTCCCAGCTTTTAATTGCTAAAACAAAGAAAAATAAAAAATCACGCACAGAAATGGAAATGCCCATCTGAGCATTAAATTTTTTTGAATTAAGGAGTTTATATCATTGATATTAAAACATTACAATTAATTATTAATTTATATTTTACTACTTATTTTATTTTTTGTCTGATGGCTTTTATGAATTTCAAGTGAATATTTTAGTTTTTAAAACCCCTTTTAGAATTTATTTAATAAAAATTTTAACGTAATAGTTATTTTATTGCTGATAGAAAAAAGTACCTTTTTATTACACTATTAAATTTTGAGTTATTAACCTTTGTTTTTCGCGCTAAAGTTTTTTACTATAAAAATTATTTATAAAATCAATCATAGAAAAAGTTTAAAAAGATTTATAAAAAAAAAACAAATTTATATAAATAAAATTAGGAAAAATATTTGATAATTTAAATAAAATGGGTTTATTGCAAACAATTTTTGCCTAGAGTTGACAAAAAAAAAAAGTTGTGGTCAAGTTGTAAAAACAAAATATTTATGAGTGGTCAGGAATGGTCTTCGATCGCACTCCTTTAGATTTTATCAGACACATGCGCTAAACTCAATGACATATGATAAATAACTAGATATTTAACTCCATATTTTTTTATTAACTGAAAGTGAAGCCAATTTTTTTGTTTATTATTTTAATCTGCCATTATTATGTTGGGCAGAAGCAGTAATATCACATAACATTAGCTGTAAATAATTGACATCATTTGCTTTACTTTGCTGAAACCTTTATTTAATTCAGCTATCTTACTTTGACAACTTAACCATAAAAATGATTAAATTTGATAACTTAACCATAAAAATGATTAAACTTAAATAAGAACACCTGTGAATCTACTATCAAAATTCAGGGTCATCCCAAGAGGGGGCATATGGGGATGTCTAATCCCTCAACGATAATTATCTTTTAAGATCTTGGTTGGCAAAACACAGATATGTCATTCCCCTCCCCTTTGAAATCTCTTGGGAGAGCCTTGTTAGGAATAGATCCTTTGTCAATATATATATATATATATATATATATATATATATATATATATATATATATATATATATATATATATATATATATATATATATATATATATATATATATATATATAAATGTGTGTAAATATATACATATATACACATATATATACATATGTATACAAATATATATATATATATATATATATATATATATATATTTATATATATACATATATATATATATATTTATATATATATATATATATATATATATATATATACATATATATATATATACATATATATATATATATATATATATATATATATATATATATATATATATATATATATATATATATATATATATATATATATATATATATGTATATATATATATATATATATATATATATATATATATATATATATATACATACATATATATATATATATACATAAATATACATAAATATACATATATATACACACATATATATACATATATTAAGGTGCATTAAACGCCCCATACTTTCAAAATTTGATCTGTCCCTATTCTTAAATCCATCTGTTGGTTCTCACGAGAAACTCTTTTTTTTTTCTCAAAAATTTTTTCAAAATTGAATGAGATTTAGGGGGGCCACATTAAGTCTGAAACTTGCAACGAGACCCTAACCAGAAGAAAAAAAAGTTTTTCAAATGTAAGTCATGTTGGGTCTCAAAAGAAGCGAAACTTTATAAAAATTTCAAAAATAGTTATGATTTTTTGTTAAAAATACCTTGAAAATTTCGGCTAAAAACCATGAAAAAATGGCTTTTTTTAATTTTTTGCTAAAAAATAATTTTTATGCAATAAAACTTATAATAATAAATATTATGTAAAATTTTTATTGTTTTTGAAATTTTTTTTTATAAAATTTTGCTTCTTTTGAGTCCCAACATGACATACATTTGAAAAACTTTTTTTTCTTCTGTTTAGGGTCTCGTCGCAAGTTTCAGATTTTAGGTGGCCCCCCTAAATCTCATTCAATTTTGAAAAAATTTAACAGAGTGTCTTATGAGTACCAATAGAAAGTTTTAAGAATAGGGACAGATCAATTTTTGAAAGTATGGGGCGTTTGATGCACCCTAACATATATATATATATATAAATTTATATATATATATATATATATATATATATATATATATATATATATATATATATATATATATATATATATATATATATTATATACACACACACACACATAAACAAAAAAACACTAGGTTTACATTTTTTTGAATAAAAAAAAATTGACCCTTGAATATTTAATGGGTCCCTAATATTTTCAAAAAAAAAGTTTTTCAAAAATATGTCAACCTGGTATTCAATTGAAGCGAAATTATATAAAAACTTCAAAAATTATATTTATTTTTAAAAATTTTAACTTATTAAAATTATTATAAAAAATGCATTTTTTTTCTTTTTTTGTTACAAAACGTAATTTTTTAAGTAATAAAATGAAAAATAACAACTTTTCCAAAATGAATATTATTTTTGAAATTTTTATATAACTTTTCTTCATTTGAGTACCAGGTTGACATATTTTTACACATAAACACCATAAAAATATATTATGATGTTTTTGTTGAAAGTGCTAAATAAAAAATAAAAGCATTTTAAAATGTTTTATTATTTATGATTAGTTACTAAGTTTATAAACAATCATTATGTAACACATAATGATTGTTTATAAACATAGTAATTGGGATCATTAGAAATCTTATATATATATATATATATATATATATATATATATATATATATATATATATATAAATATATATATATATATATATATATATATATATATATATATATATATATATATATATATATATATATATATATATATATATATATATAATGATCCCAATTACTATGTTTATAAACAATCATTATGTGTTACATAATGATTGTTTATAAACTTAGTAACTAATCATAAAGAATAAAACATTTTAAAATGCTTTTATTTTTTACAAATAAGAATGTAAGAATGCTTTTTGATTTAAAAAATATATATTTTCCTTTTCGATTTTTTGTATGTATAAATAAATAAAACGTTAGCATAACAAAAGCACTACTATTATACCATTTTCAATTGTTAAACTATTGTTAAAGAGATCTCAAACTCCCAACACATGTTGTGTTCATATTAAAGATAATTTTAAAAAGGTTTGAACCAAGTTTTTTGATTAAAAATAAATAATGAATGCGTACCGAGAAAAATATTGTTGTTTTAGCCAAAGCTCGCCTCCTCTATTTTTTTCACTAACTCAAAATCTTTAAACTATACGTCGCTATCTACAGACTTCGGCAATTCCTTTGAAGCGTGTTTAATTCATAAAAGTTTTAGCATTTGACGTCACGGTAGAATTTTAACAAATCAAAAGTGTAATTAAACAAATCTGCCATTTTTCTACTTTAATTCAAAAAGTTTGATGTAGTATATTTTTAACATACAGCAAAACAACTTTTACAACAAATTTTTGTAAAAATCAAAATTAATAAAAGATTTTTATTTCATAGGAGCAACTTTTTTTTTACAGATGTCTTAATAATTTTCAGATTTATATATCTTACTTATAATTCTTTTATTTTTAAATTAAAACAAATTAAAGCTTTACTTACGAATTTTATGATTTTTATATGAGTGTTTTACATTATATAGAGAGTTATGTAATAATATCCCTCGTTTTTATAGAACGTTATGTTATACTGTCCTTCGTTTTTGTGCAAGAGAGTGCAGTATTATGTATTGTGAATCTTACTTATTTTCATTTAAACAATAGGAAATATTTTCTAACTTCTCTGGTCATTTTTACACTATGATATTTTTTTTTCTTGTCAAAAAAAAGTATTAACAATTACTTTCATTAATTGACATTATTAATTAAAGATATTTGATTAAATATATTTGATTTGATATATGTTAAATTTTTTTATTATAAAATTTTTTTGATTACACTGATTTAATTTAAATTGCTAAATTTTCAAAAATGGATATGGATAAAAAGAAAATATCGTTAAAATTTGCATTTGATTTTTGATAACGAAACTTTCAAAATGTCGGCAACTTCATACCAATTAGAATCTGTAAAAGTTATGAAAAAAAATTTACAAGAATACACTAAACAATACAGTTGATAGATTACAAGAATACACTAAACAATACAGTTGTAGTATCAGATATGAAAATTTGTTAAAGGATATGTGAGATTCTGGTTTTGCATTACAACTTGTATTTACAATATTAAATATAGTATGTTTTTTAATGCGCATTACAAAATTTTGACAATTTAAACTACCATCTTCCTTGAATTGCCATTAATTAATGTGTTAATTATAGCGTTAATAAAAAACATGAAGTACATATATTTTTTGCTCGTTTAATACAATAACATTTAACAAAAATACAGACAAACTATTATTAATTAACGCTATAATTAACACATTAATTAATGACAATTCAAAGTAGATGGTAATTTAAATTGTCAAAATGTCGTAACGCTCGTTGAAAAACATATTTTATTCAATATTTCCCAATTTATGTGTGGTATTTGTGATTTGTCTCATGAAAAATTAGAAAATTAAAAAACTAACAAAATTGACAAATACAAGTTTTCAAGCAATTTTCTCTTCTAACTCCCATTTAAAGTTTAATTACGTGAAACTTTTCTTTCTCTTTTGTTCTACTGTTTTTTATAAAAACAGCGCGCGATGAAATAAAAACTTTTCTTTCATAACATAGAACTAAACTTAAAGATAAAATTAAATTAGAAATAAATCAACAGTGAGCAAGGCAACTAACAGTCTAATCTGGGACTATTTTGATATTGATGAAAATAATCAACATAAACAACAACAATAATCAAATAAACAACACAATATCGCATAATTATACAGGATTTTTATTTATTGCTTAGTAGTTTTAAGTAATAAGTAAATTTAGTTCAAATTTTAATATTTTAATGTTTACAGTTACAATATAATTTTAAAAAAAACTTTAAAATGTTGAGCTTTTTATTTAATTATTTATTTTTTACCTACATTTGTTATAAAAAGGCTTTAGTACTCATGTCATTAATATCATTTGTTTAAATATATTGCGACAAGACTATTCAAACTAAGTTTTTTCGTTTGACTAACCGAACTTCATTCAAAGCAAATTCAGACAATATGTTGTCTAACCTAAAAATGCTGCTACTAATTTTATACGGCTAATTAATATAAAACAATTTTTTATCAGAATCTTGATTGAGACAATAAATATTCATCATTTAATAACATTAAATATAACGTGATAACAATTTATAGCAACGAACCAGCATAAAATATTCAAGGTTTTTAATATCTTTTTAAATGTAAAAAGTAGAAACAAAAAAACTAAACAAGTAATGAAAAAATTTATGAATTTAAAAAAAAAAAATTTTCCAGGGTTTCGTTGGTCTAAAGTCTACCATGACGTCAAATACTAAAACTTTTATGAACGCGCTTCAAAGAAATCCTGTCTGTAGATTGCAACGTATAACTTAAAGTCTCCGAGTTATTGAAAAAAATGGAGAAGGCAAGCTTCGGCTAAAACAACAACATTAGCTTTCCTTGGTATGCATTCATTATTTATTTTTAATCAAAAAAACTTGGTTCAAACTTTTTTTTTTAACATTATCTTTAACATGAACACAACATGTATTGGGAGTTTGAGATCCCTTTAAATAAATATTAATTAATTACTATTATTATTAACAATTTAACTTTTTTTTTCTTTTTCTTTTTTAAATAAAATAGTTTTATAAGTATTTATTTAATCTATTCTTATTTGAATAAATTAAAATAAAAAAACTTATTTCAAATAGAATAAAAAAAACTCTTGTCATATAAGAGTGCTTAATAAAAAATATATAAACAGGATTTATAAAAACTGTTTAGTAGCCCTGAAGTTACACATAAAAACTATTAAAAGAAATTTTTAACAGATAAGTTTATTCTTTATAATAATAGTAGTCTTTGGAATAAGTTTTTTTACTTTTATTTATTCAATTATGAATAGATTGTATAAATACTTATAAAACTAATATATTCCAAAGATGACCAAGCCAATTATTCTAAAGAATGAACTTATTTGTTAAAAATTTCTCCTAATAGCCTTTGTGTAACTTCAGGGTTACTAAATGGTTTTTACTTAGATAATTTAACTTTTGATATCTAAATTTTAACTTACATACAATGCTTTCTTTCCGATGTCAATCCACCTTTCAGATGCAAAGTTTGTTGATTCAGCACAGTTAAAACCCTGATTGTATCCTGCATGGTAACCACATGGAAATGTAATAATAAACTCGCCTTCATTTTGAAGGATCTAATTTAAATACAACAATACTAATATAATTTAAATACAACAATACTAATATAATTTAAATATAATAATACTAATATAATTTAAATACAACAATACTAATAAATTTTAAATACAACAATACTAATATAAATACAACAATACTAATATAATTCAAATATAAAATGAGAAAAAAATGATATTTGTGCTTTTGACCAGAATAAAAAACATTAACATTTAAAAAATATTTCACCTTATTGACAGGAATTGAAAACTTTCGAAGAACATGAGGTGAAATAATAGCCATTTTATGACGAAGAAACTCACTGCAGTCAGATGCACTGCCAGAAAAAAATCCTATAAAATGATTGAAAACAATCAATAAAAAAATAATTACAATCAGATGCACTGCCAGAAAAAATTATATAAAACTATTGAAAACACTTAATAAGAAAATCATTAGAGTCAGATGTCCTGCCAGAAAAAAATCTTATAAAACTATTGAAAAAACATAATAGGAATCTCACTAGATTCAGATGCGCTGCCAGAAAAAAAATCTTAAAAATGATTGAAAACACTCGAATAGGACTTTATTTAAAAACTACAGTTTACAGTTAGTTAATTTATGTTGGTAAACCTTCATTATAAATTATGTTGGTAAGCCCTTAATATAAACTATGTTGGTAAGCATTTAACATAAATGATGTTGGTAAGTATTTATGGCAACTTACACGGATGGTCAAAGTTAAGACAATTTGGCAACAAGCTAATAAGTCAACTATGTTTTGTAATGAGTCAAAGTACCAGCTTTGTGCACATTAATTTTTTTTTTTAATTGGTTCACATACACTAAAGTCACAATTTTCACAAAAAAACATTTCACAACATTCCTGTTGCTGCTTTTTATCATTTAGTGACGCATTGCACATAATCCATAAGTGACCAAAGTTATAGTGTTTTAAAATTTCACTGATTTTGAAGAAAAAAGAGTAGCTAATATTTGAAAGTTCAAAATGTAGCTTTATAAGCAGCAATATTAATTAAATAAAGCCAAAGAAATCACTGCATTTATAAAATGTGCTAAAAACATTGAAATATCTATGTCAATTTAACTAAATAAAATTATTTCAGACACTAATTATAATTATATCTACTAATTAATTACTAACTTAATGTCTCAAAAATATTATAAGCTGTTGCAACATTTAAACTACATCCATTTTTCCTGAATGGAAGTCATGACTTTTTCTGGTATTAAAATTCAATATTCTAGACAACAGCTCTACACTATGTGTTCTCATACTTTATTAAACAACAAAAATTGACATAGTCTGATTTTGTATATTTAAAGTATACATGCAAGTATATTTTAAAAGCAAAAATTTGTTTATACTGTAAAAGCCATTAAAAAAATAAAGCTTAGTTTTTATTTATTGTTCATACCTTTAGCAAGGGTTTCTAACCTTTTTCCATGCTCTGGAGGAATGGCATACCTTTAAAAATAATATTTACAAAATTTACAATTACAAATTGATTTAATTGAAACTTTGCTTAATTCTAATTTATTTTTAAGTTTTTTTTTTCAATACAGTATTAAGTTACAATTTCTTTTTTTTAATAAAATAAAAATTATGTAACCTTTTATTTTATTAAAAATATAGATTAATAAAAGCCATGGCAGGAATGAGCTTAAACTCTTGCTCATGCTCACATTCCCCTCTGGTTTAAAGAAGCTATTTTTGATTCACTCAAAAGTAAAAAATTAAGGAACTTTTTTGATAAATTAAATTTATTTTAACGAGTTTTTTTTAAACTGTGGGTGACAAACAAGCAGTCAAAAAATATATTTTTATATTTGATAAATATAAATTATAAAAACGTTTCTTTATTCTATTATTTATATTCTAATCAGTTATGATCAAAGTTATAAGAACTATTAATGCTGCATCAAAAAAAAGCATTTAAAAGAACTATTATTATTGCATATTATTGTATCATTTGCTCTTAGCGTAGAAATTTAGAATAAGAGAGAGAGAGAAAGTTGTTGTAATTAAATTTTGAATGAATGAGTTTGATATTATAATTAAATTAATGGTTATATTAATTGAACTAAATTAAATTTAATTGATATTATATGTAATTGATACTATAATTGATATTATATGTAATTGATAATATAATTAAAATAGTTATAATATCAATAATTAAATAATAAAATAGTTATAATATCTATAATTAAATTAGTTTTAATATCAAGTATAATTAATTTAATTATAATTAAGGTAATAATTCACCTAATTATAATTATAATTAGGCAAATTGCTTTTGAATAAAACTTTTTTGAAAATCTATAAACTGTTTGCAATAAAAATATATCAAAGTAAATGTATTATTTTCCTTTTTAAATGTTTTCTATTTTATAAATATATTTATGCTTTATTTGTATGTTTTAATTATATAATTTTTATCATTAAATAAATTTTATTATAAAATTATTTTGTTTATTTTAACCACATAAATTGCGCTTTAAAAAGTATTAAATAAAATTATTATTACATCAAATGTCAATGACAATAAAAAAAAAACAGTTTATATAACTAATAGCTCATGTGAAAACAGGCAGCTCATGCAAAAAGTTTCCTAGGCAAACTTACTTGGCTCGACATGTCTATTTTACATGAGCTTTTCTCAGATGGCACACTTGTTTATTTCTGCCATGGCTTGTTAACATTATATATGTTAATATAATATAATATACAGATTTATTTAAAATCTAATACTTTGTCAACATCCAAAAAAGTTTAATAGTTTTCAAAATAAAGTGCTTTGAAAAGTCTAAGCCTAATAAACCCAACAGTAAAACAAATGAAGCAATATTTTTACATTTACATTTATATTTACATACAATTATTTATTTTTTTTAAAACATTTTTTAAACCAGATATTATTTAATATAATTAACAATATATATAAATATAATTAACAAAAAAAATACTGCAATCAAAGTAATAAAGTGTTAACATAAAAACAAATTACAACATACTTGCATAACTTGTTATTGAAACTAATTTAGGCTTACTTGTACTTACTGTAAAGTTACTGTAACTTGTTGTATGGTTACTGTAACTTGTTGTATGGTTACTGTAACTTGTTGAATGGTTACTGTAACTTGTTGTATGGTTAAGAGATAATACTTAATAGGAGTACTCTATTGTAATATCTTACTTAATAGAACTTAATCCTTAATAGTTGAGTATAAATACTATATGTACAAATACTTATAGTGTTATAAGCATTAAAACTTGAAAGAGAATTAATATTTTATATATACTAAATTTTAATTAAAAATGAAATCAGTCTAATATAAAAAGCATTGTTTTAAAACTTTCAAATTTTTTTTTTTATTATGAGCCCTTCCAGCCTCAGCAAGGATTAGAGTGTAGTACATGGAAAAATCATGTGCAGTTATTAATAAAGCTTCATCGTTAATTTATTATATTATAATACAATATATAGTATAATGAAACAACAATGCTTTATAGTATAATAGCAATAATTTGCACTAGACCAACCAATCTTTTGACATCAATACTTATGTTAATGTTAAAATGTATCTGCATACAGTCAGAGGCTATTCTAGACAGTTTTCGACAGCGTCAAACATATTTGAGCGCCGCCCAAATTGTATGTTTTACCTTTCCTTTTTTTTTACGTTTTGTTAGGTTTTTATGACAAATATTGTTTTTTTCGCAAAAATAATGCAGATTTTCCGCTAAAGTCCGCCGAAACAAGGGGGTACCGCTGCCCAAATTTTTTTCCTAGAATAGGCCCTGACATGATACATCAATATTTAACAACTTTGGTTTGAAGAGTTTATATTTATAAGTTTAAGCTTTAATATTTAAGTTCAGTAAATTTAAATATTAAAAAAACTCTATGCTTTTTTTCTTTTTTCTTAAAAAAGCTGTATGCTATAAAGCAAAATGAGTAAGCAATTGCTGATCTATATACACTATAGTGTGTGTGTATATATATATATATATATATATATATATATATATATATATATATATATATATATATATATATATATATATATATATATATTATAGTGTATATAGTATATACAAGGTACTGGTCAAAATTATAGTACAAATGTAAAATAAAAATTTAATGGACAGTTGAATGAAAAGTTATAAACATTTTTTTATCTGAAGAAAAACATTTCACATTTTACAAAAATGAATGAAATTGAAAATACATTTTAAGTTAACATGTTTTAAAGTTCACTAAGGAATAATACAGAAAAATAAGCTGGCCAAAATTATAGCACATAGTACTAAATTTAGATAAAAAAAAAATTTTGATTTTGATTTTATATGAAAAAATGTTGGATCCTTTAGCTCTAAAAATTTGAGAAACCCGATCTGGAACAGAAATTATCAATTTAACTGGTTAATTGAAGACTTATAAAGTTGTAGGTTGTATATAAAAGAAAAACATAAAGATGGCTAATAGTTATAAAGTTTTTTTGATGAGCAGGGAAAAAATCTGGATTATAAAAAAGGAACAGATACAGTAAAAGGATGCAACTTGTTGAATAAGAAACAAGCAAGAATGAGTTTTGGTTTATCGTAATAGAGATAATAGCTTGTTTGAGCATGATTGTATTTGTAGAAAAAAGAAAGAAATGCAACCTTACATGCTTGGCAGATAAAGTCTAGTTTATTATTTTTTATTTTTTTTATGTTAATTCCCCAAGGCTGAAATCTAGTGATCCTCAAATTCCCGGGAATTTGAATTTCGGCAATATCGGGAATGAAAAAGCTCATTCCCGGGAATTATCATTACCGGGAATGAGCTTTTCAATATTTTTTGGTCTTTCTAAAACCTGAAAATTTTTAATCAAAAAATACAAAAAACAATACAAAGAACTCAAAATTTATGTTTAAATCTACTTTATTAATTTATTTCAGAAATAACATTTAAGAAAAGAAATAGCATCGATGTTCTCATCACAAAGACGGTTGCGAACTTTGCTCACAAGAATATTTGCTTCCAAAAAACGACGTTCTGCAGCTACTGATGTTGCTTGTATTGTATTCAGTCCCTCGAAAAGTCTATCCAGAGTTGGTGAGCGTACTTTTGTCTTTGCATACATATGCATCTCCTTTTTGTAGTCAATAACTTTGGCTGCCTGCTTATTGGTGACCTCTCTTGAAGCTTTCAAGTCAAGTGTCAGTTGCTCAGCTAAACTTCATTGAACCTGCTGTAATGTTGATGCTGATGGTTCTTCCTGCTGTTCAGGTTGTTCCACACAATCATCATTTTCAGTACTGAAGAGTCTTTCCATCAGTTTCACTGCAAGTTTGCTCATAGCTGCAACAGTCGATGTAGCAAAGTGATTTGGCCCATTGATGCTGTTGATGTCAAGCAAGTAAAAGATGAGTGATTGAAGAACATCATGTCTGCGTTTGTTGATTTTCTCTTTGATAGCCAAGAAGATGTCCTGCGAGAGCTGATGATCATGCATTTCTAAATTGTCCAAGAGAAACTTAATAGATGTGTTGCAATCGATAAGATTTACTGATTTCTTTGACAAGAATTGAATTGCCAACTTCGCTAGACTCATATATAATGTGTCATAAGATATAAGAGTTGTGATTGACCAACATTAATGGTTTCGTTAATCATACATCAGCGCAATATATCTACACTGTGCCCAACATTTTTCGTAATACGTGTATCAAATTTGTTATAAAATCTGTCATCAGAATCTGCGATAAGTGGAATATAACCAGACATTCTGACAAGCTCAAAGAAAAATTATTTTTTACTTTTTAGGACGCTAGAAAAACGTTGTTTGTAGAAAAATTTATTTTTATTGTTTTTATTATTATATTGCAATAATTGCACCACCAGCTACAGGTAGACTTTAGAGTAAAATTTATGAAGATTCATTTTAATACATACAATTGCGGGTATATTTAAAGATTAAAACTTTTTAAACACCTGTAAAGTGTATTTCCAGGTATAAAAAAATTTTTAAACTTTAATTATACCTGCAATTACAACTATAAACTTTAAATATACCTTTAAAAAATGATAGTCTACATATTTGTATTTAAAAAAACTTCCCGGGAATTTATAAAAAAAACAAAAACAATGGGAATGGGAACGGGAATCGACCAACAAGATTCCCGGGAATTACCGTTCCCGGAATTCCCTTGAGGATCACTATTGAAAACGCCACTACAGACGAGGAGGCTACTTAATTGTGGTTATAACCCTCTCTCAACTATATAACTCTGAAATACGAACCTAAACAACCAAGGTCGCTGTGCAGAGAATTAGGTTGAGCACTGTACTACCAGAGATGTGATGTGGATCGAACTCAGTACCTCTTGCTTGAGCTCTTTACCACTAGACCACAACTGCATTACATTTACAATGCGCTTTTAGACTTTGTCTGAGAGAGGATTGCTATTCATCAATATAGTATATATATATATATATTCATCAACATTCACCAACATTCTTGCAATTTTTTTTTGCAGTAAAAAAATTAGTTTTTTTGTCAAACAAAAATTGTGGATTTTAAGTCCACAAACCACAGCAAGCCTTAGGCTGTTACAGAAGAGAGATCAATTTAAAAATCAACTTGTTCTACTCAATCAAAAAGTGAAGATTTTTTGTCAAGAGAAGAGTATAAAGTTGAGTTGTCAACAAATAGAGCCACTTTAGATAATAAATTTTTATGAAGATTGATATTTTAGATAGGAAACAATACAGGAGAAAAGATTTAAGAGTACCACAAGATACCTTGTGGTACCCTTAAAGTTACTTGAAATAAAGAAGAGAGTAGGCCTTCAAGAAAAACTTCTTTACTGCAGTTAGTAAGAAACAATTTAATAATCTCAAAACCTTTATATAAAGAAATTAATAACAGAGTGAAGACTAATCATAGAATAGTTGGAGAGGTCAAAGTGTTTCTAAAGAGTTTTGAAAATTTGGAACCACTTATTTAGCACTTTTTAAAAATTAAATGTTATTAAATATTATAGAACTAATAGAACTAAATGTTAGACTTTAGTTAATGACATTGTTGAAAACTAACCAAAAGTCTCTAGAATCTAACATTCGATTTAAGATACAAGATTTAGTAAACAATTGAGAATAACAGAGCTTAATATCAGACGGGACCTTTTTACATTCTTAGAATAATAAAAGGACATTTGTTCTTAAGAGAGATGTTCTTGTAAAAAAGATGAAATAAATGATTAATAAAGTAATTGCTCAAGATGCTGAAAAAAATATGGAGTAGAATGAGGTTTGACTTGAAGAGTAGGAATAAAAGCTTCCAAGCCTTTAGTCCACAAGGAGTATAAGCTTCTGAGATGCGCATTATGCATACATATATTATGGATATAAACATATATGTTTGCTATTTATTTAGATCCTGGCATACAATATTCTTTCATATTTATATAAACTTTAGTATTTGGTAGTGGTGTAGTGGTAGAGTGCTCGCTTCATAAGGGAGAGGTTCCGAGTTTGATCCCTACCACATCCCTGGTAGCACCACTCTCATCTGATGATGATAACGATGATGATGATGATGATGATGATGATGATGATGATGATGATGATGATGATGATGATGATGATGATGATGATGATGGTAATGATGATGATGATGATGATTATGTTGATCATAATGTTTATATATGCATATATTTACAAAATATAACATGAATTTTGAATAAAAAAATTATACTTTAGGATGTATAAATGTTTATGCAGTCCCGGTCACAAACCCAGCCCCAGCTATATTTTATCAAACCCGGCCCAGGTTAATATCAACCAAAGTCATTTATATATATATATATATATATATATATATATATATATATATATATATATATATATATATATAATAAATGTATTATAAATGTATGTTTTGTAAGTATTTAAATTATAAATTAACTATAAACATTAAAGTAACTATACACATTATACACATTAAAATAAATAGTTAAATAAAATTTACCATGATTTAGGAGCACCAAAATGCAAATAATTTATGCTGTACAAATCCATATCTTCTGTATGCCAAGGAAAAGTTGTCTTCCACATTCCAAAGTATAGGTATGCAGTGTTCACACCCTTAATTTTTATTTTACTACTTGCATTCAAAATGTCAAGTATTGTTCCCAGCTTATTTATATTCCAGTATTCGCAGTCTTTGTCATATATGGTTCCTGGAACATCAGCGCCATATATAGGAGGATTAAATGTTAAATTTTTCCAAAAATCTCTCTCAAGATCCTCTGGTTTACTATTTGGTGTTTTATATCTGTTAGAAATGAATTTTTTAAGCAAAAAATTAAAACAGCATATTACAGCCTTTAAAAATTTTTACATAAACAAGCACACCAATTAAAGATTAAAAAAATTTAAATGTAGGGCACAGTGAAATGACAATTTGAACAGACATTTATAAATTGTATGTTTTAATTAAAAGCATAAAGCATAAAAACTAGCACAAAAAAAAGTAGACTTTAAGAATCTAAAAAATAACCCAAAGACAAATAAAAAAAAAAAAAAACTCACTTTGTTGATTCAGCAAGCTCTTTAAAATCTTTGACTGTAATGGATTTTTTTGATATATTGAACAATTGAAAAACTCCTAAACAATACATATATTTTCAGTCAGCGATATATATATATATATATATATATATATATATACATGCATATGTCAAGGTCAGGTTAGGATTAAAATTATCATGATCATCCTACTGTTAGCGAGATCCAATCAACAGCTGTAAAATATCAATATAATAACAGTCACATTAAGCATGAAAGGTGTCCCTGTTAGTGTTTTTGGTATGAACTGATAAAACCATATAAGGAGCTTTTTGTTATGACTTTGAGTTGATTAGTAAGACTGAAGCAACTGCATAGCTGATTGCCTAAAAAAGTTACTATAAGGTAATCGTCTAATGCTAAGGGCCGTTGTTTTCCTAAAATTATTTTCTCCTAATTAAGTGATTTAACAACTTTTTTTTTTTCTCAGAAATTAGGTTCTGAGGAAAAATCACTACCCAAATCCATTGCAAAAATTTTCACTTGAACGCTTGTGGTCTGGACAACTTTCCTGCAAAATTCTCCAGAATTCTCCTCATTATTTTTTTAAACTAATATACTTAAACTATATAATATCTTAATTTGTTTTACTAACTGTTTCATTCCTAATCGTAGTATTAAAATTGTTAATCATTTAATCAGATAAATGTAACAAAATCGTTTTGCAACATTTGATTGGTGTTTTGCAACATTTTATTGGTGTTTTGAAACATTATTTTGGTGTTTTGCAACATTATTTTGGAGTTTTGCAACATTATTTTGGTGTTTTATACAGTTTATAACATTAACTAAAAAATAAAACAAAGTAAATGCATTATTCTTATTTTAAAATTAGATTTGATGAAAACATAAAATCTTCATAAAACTTAATGCAAAAAATGCTCTCTCTATAGACCAAACAAGTAAAATCAAATCAAAATAACAAACAAGGAAACTCAAAAAAATCTTATTAGATACCTTTTTTTTCTAATTAATTGCTTCTTGATCTAGTGTACTATTAAAAATTTAAGTATAATTAACTTTTTCATTCAAATGGTTTTTAAGTTGATGATTTCATTCAATTTTTTATTCAAATTATTTTGAAATAAAATAAAGTGAGAGAAATTTTGTTTATTAAGACAAATTATATTTACTTTAACCTAAGTATGGCGTACTTTTTAAAACTAGTATGGCGTACTTTATGGATGACCATTTATAAAAACCTAAGACAAAAAGTTTGTTTTATACTTTTTAGAATGCTAAATAAATGCTAAATTAAATAAGAAAAAAAAAAAAAAAAAGGGGGGGGAGGGGCTGCGCAGAGAAACAAATTGATTTTAGTTCAGAGGCACAGATAGACTTGAACCTTGTAGACTACTATCAATAGGGTAACAATTTTGCATTATAAAAGAAAACTGTTAACTTGCAACTTTTTTTAATAGAACATTTAACTAGCCAGCTTATTGGAAAACTCCTAGACCAGATCAGCACTATGCAGTAAAAACCTAGACCAGATCAGCACTATGCAGTAAAAACTTTTTTGATCTGAACATATTGGTATTTTTAAAACAGGGTGAGAAGGAATAGCTAATTTAAGATGACTATGAATGCTGTATGTTTTTATTTCTTAAATTTTATATAGATTATAGATAGATTTTTTTTTATAGATTTTTTTTGCAAGTGGATTTGTGTCTAAGTCTAGATTGTTCTTAATGATATTTAAAATGAATTTGTTTAGAACCATTACAATGTCTTTACCACCAGGGTTTTTATTTTTTCCTAAAAGATGATTTATTACCTCTGCTTCGTTCCTCCAGTTATTCATTTAAGTAAATGTTTAAATAAAGCTTTTTTTTTCATGGTTTTTCCACCATGCTTTTTTAGAACTTAATTCCATAGTTTTACTTTTTTACTGTTTCTAATGGAATGTTATAAGTTTTAGCAGTCTTTCTAATAGTAAAAAAGTTTTTCACTTTATTTACAGGTCTTTTTGAGTGTAACTTGTTTTATAATTTAAGCTATATTTTTTATTTTATAACTTTAAAGAATAGATCCTAAAGTTAGCAAAAAAAACTTTAATTTTTGATCGAAAATTATCAAAAATGTCATTTTTAATAACCAAATAATTAGATACAGACAAGCAATACCCTAAATTGTGGTTTTATTAGAACAATATGTACCTAAACTTGATGTGAAGCAACTTTTATAGTGTTTTGATACATTTTTCTTGAGATATAGCTTGATAAGTCACCTAACACCACAATAAATTACTAACTTCAAACTAAAACTTATATTCATTGTAAATCCATTTGTAAATACCATTTGTATACAAATACAGTTTATACAAGTTTTTACAGTATAAAAAATATTTACAGTATAAAAAATTTTAATTAATAGTAAAGTAATAGTTAATAATAAGGATTTATAGAAGCTAAAATGACTTATCATTTATAAATTTGTACATTTTTTGAAAAAACAAAATATATTTAGGTTTTAATGATTTTTTTGAGGTTGGAACTATGTGTTACCCAGCTAACCCTGGGTAACACATAGTTTCATCAACAGTTGAGTGCCATTCCTTTCATAATTGCCAAATTCATGATAATATTACATCTTTAGTGGTTCTATTTGCTAATTACACAACTATAAACTTTCTTTAAAAAAGTCATAGCATTTTGATTGTTTTTTAATTTTGAAAGGCAGCCAATCTTGAATTCGATCTTTCTTTTGTGACTGTTTGGGGCTTGCAGAGGCTGGTTAATTTTTAATCATAACAAAATTTTGTTGTTTACTGCTAATAACACTCTTACTTAGTCTTCTACTGAATTATCTTTTACTACTGGCCTCTTATAGATACAATATCTACAATTTATTGGATGGTTAGCATCTGCTCAGATTCATCTTTTTATTTTTATTTTTTTAATCTTGATTCTATTTTCGAACTCCATAAATCTGCTATTCCTTGTATGGTGTCTCTGTATGGAATACTGTTATCACATTATTGAAAGTTTGTCTGAGGATTTTCTCTATACTTTAGTCAAAAGTTTAGCTTAATAATCATGTTGTAAATATCTTTAAATTATTTTATATAGAAAATCTTATTATATACAATCAAAAAATACATTTTTATTAAATTATAAAATTAACAGAAACTATTGAATTCAAGTTGAAAAAAATATTTAAATTTTATACTAACAAAAATATCAATATGATTAAATATATTCTAATATAAAATTTATCAAAATGAACAACACTGTTCAATTTGACACTTTATGCATCAGTCAAAACTTTAGGTTTCTTTTTTTATTATAAGACAACTCTACTTGCCTTGTTGTCCTGTAATTGTCTGTGAAACTGGAGTCTTGATGACAATTTTCCCAATGTGATTCATGTTGTATTTCTGGGTAGGTCTCCATTCTTTAGGTGGAATAACCTTCAATAACAATAAAAGTATTTGATTTATAGAAACTTATTTATTTAACTTACCTTAATAAATTTATAATTAGTTTAATTACTTTATAAATGTTAATTTAACAAAGTTTTATTTTAATTATTTAGTTTTAAATAATATTAAAATTTGAATTTGACTGAATAACAAAAGGGTAAATTTATTACCTATAAGAATTATCAAGCCTGAAACAATACAGAAAACATGTACTCATATAAGCAATTACCGAAAATAATGGTTTAAAAAAATTCTTTTTTGATTTAATGTTAATTTTATTTTTGAGTCCATTCCTATACAAGTCCAATATCTTAATTCTATCATGTTCAACATTACAGCAAGTCACATTTTATAGTGATTCTTCTTGTCATGATTTATAACTTCATTATAATATTTAAACATAAGAAACTGGAAACTGGTGTTACTTTGGACATGTATAAGAAACTGTAAACTGGTGTAACTTTGGACATGTATAAGAAACTGTAAACTGGGGTTACTTTGGACATGTATAAGAAACTGTAAACTGGGGTTACTTTGGACATGTATAAGAAACTGTAAACTGGGGTTACTTTGGACATGCAAAAGAAACAGTAAACTGGGGTTACTTTGGACATGTATAAGGAACTGTAAACTGGGGTTACTTTGGACATGTATAAGAAACTATAAACTGGGGTTACTTTGGACATTTATAAGAAATTGTAAACTGGGGTTACTTTGGACATTTATAAGAAACTATAAACTGGGGTTACTTTAGACATGTATAACAAACTGTAAACTGGGGTTACTTTGGACAACTTTAGACAAAAAGATTAAGATTAGTAACATATAGCATCCATTTGAATAAATATACTTAACATTATTTTTATGTTTGCTAGTATACTAGTAAATTTAATGAGATATATTCTATTATTTAAATATAAATTTGTTATGTTATGTGTAACATAATACTAACAGACATAATCCCATACGGTTTGACCGGTATAAGTTCCTAAAGTTATGCGACCAAATTAAAAATTTCATAAGTTTAAAATTCCAATGGTAATAAAGTCCAGTATACGAACTTAACAAGATTTTGAATAAGAAAGTTTTAATTCCATTAAAAATAACAATTTTCATTTTTTAAAACAAAAAGTGAAGTTTTATGGTTGCTTTTACATATATTTAAATCAGGGTTGGCATTAAAAAACTTGCCCTAAAAAACCTGCCCAATAAAACCCAAAAAAACCCGCCTAAAAAAACCCAATAAAACCCTGGAAAATCTGGGTTTTATTGGGTTTTTTTAAAGATATATAATAAGTTTATGAACTATTATAACCAACTTTAAAATTATAACTATAATATTATTAACTAAAATAGTTATTAACTATTATTATTAACTAAATTATTATTAACTATTATTATTAAATATTATAACCAACAATAACAGCTATCAGAGCAGGTTTACTATTATTTGAATCATTATTTGGAAATACATTATTACAATTTTATTCAAATATTTTTATTGATTGAAATTTTTATTACTTTATGTTATTCACCTCCCAAGTTGAATTTAAATGAGTAGCAGTGACCAGAGAAGCCAACGCAACAGTCGAGGAGGCTACCTTGTTGTGGTTACAATCCTCTCTCAACTCTTTAACACGAATCTTTATAAACAAGGCCGCTGCGCAGAGGAACAAGTTTGTTCATTTGAATTTCAAGTTCAAAGTTTAATTGAAACTTCAGTTACTACCTCCCATTCTCTAGCCTTCTTTTTCCCATTTTCTCATTGACATTTTTAATTATATAGAATAATACTTTTAAATTTAAAATAAATCAATACATATAGATTAAGCGTGAAATTTTTTTTTTTATTACAGTTTTAAATTATATTTAAAAATCTTTTTCAAAATAATTTGAAAAATTCTTGTTATAAATAATTAAACAACAATATATAAAGTATATTTTAAATAAAGTTAAAGTAGAAAATGAAACTAATTTTTAATATCATTAAACAAAAACACAAAAAAAATTTTTACAGGGATAAAATAAAAATTAAACCCAAAAAAACCCAAATTTACCCAATAAAATCCAATAAAACCCAAAAAAACCCACTGGGACAGGTTTTTTTCAAAAAACCCGGGTTTTTGCCAACCCTGATTTAAATATATGATGGAAACTTTCCTAAAATCTTAACATTTCTATGTATTGAATTAGTTTGTAAATAAAGAAAAAATGTTCATTTCTTAAAAAAGTATAGCAAAACCATTTTACATTACTTCGAAGTTACACTTTTAATTTTGAAAACCATATTTAATTAAAAAAAAAAATTTTAATTAAAAAAATTAATTATTTCACAAATGCGTTAAACAGATTTTTTATATAATTATCATACAATTAATATTAATTTTTATACAATAATTAGTTTAATCAAAATGAACGCTGCATAAACAATATCAAAAAAAATTTAAATAATCCAATGGATTAAAGTTTTTGTTAAACAAAAATTGCTGAACATGTAGATGAAATCTCCATTTCATACATAAAATGTATAAAGGGTAACACTTTTTAACTAGGCCTGAATTTATATCTACCCAGTAGGCTCAAGACAATATTTTAAACAGTTAAAACACAGCTTGTAACTACTGAGAAAACAATCATAAAACCATTTAAAGAATATTATATACATAATTATTAAAAAACAAATAGTAAGAGTTTTTTTCTTTTAAGTTTTTTTTTTTACTTCGAACATCCACTTCCAACTAGGCTGCAAGCAACCACTATTAAGTTGGGAGTTACTAAATAAAAAAGAAACCAACCTTAGAAGATGTTAACTTAGCAATTGATTGTAAATATAGTTTTCTATTAGAGGTCAGTAGTAAATGATAACCCAAGAAGACATGCGGCAGTGGTGTAGTGGTAAGAGCGCTCGCTTTGTAAGCGAGAGGTTCGGAGTTCGACTCCCACCACGTCCCTGGAAGTACCGCGCTCAACTTAGTTTCTCCGCACAGCGGCCTTGCTTGTCAAGGTTCGTGTTTCGGAGTTAAAGAGTTGAGAGAGGGTTGTACCACGAAATACAACAAAAAAATAAAAAAAAAACACAAAAAAATGAGTAGCCTCCTCGACTGTAGTGGCCCCCTCGGGCCTTGGGGAGGTGAATAATGTGAAAAAAAAAAAAAAAAAAAAAAATAAAGAAAACTACTCTGCAAGAAGGTTGCCATTCATTAATATAAGAATGTTGACAGTATTGAAATTGTTTGCAGTAAATAATTGAGTTTTGCTGAAGTTAAAACTCACAAACCAAGCCCCAATCTGTTACAGAAGTAAGATCGGACAATTCTAAATAATCAAAAAGAGAAGACTTTTTGTCAAGACAGGAGCTTAAAGTTGAGTTATCAGCAAAGAGACCCACATTAGATGTAAATTTTTCAGGAAGGTTATTAATGTAGATAAGAAACAAAACAGGACCAAGGATAGAACCTTAAAAAAGTGTTGGCCTTCAAGGATGACTTTTTTAAAGCAAAATCTTTCTCAAATATACCATATGAAGCAAGCAGAGAAGACCAGCATGACAAACTTTATTAAAAGCTTTAGGTATGTCAAGAGCAATAACTTTTGCTTCTCCACCTTCATCTAATGCACAATAAAATCTATCAGATAGCTGTAGAATAAGAAGATCAAAAACTGTACAAGCTGTAGAAGAGTTTAATTAAGATTTTAGCAATGGAAACTGGAGTGATTTGAATGTCTAACAACAGGTTAAACTGTTTAACTGAAATAGACGGACGAGTATTATGAGTATGGCCATTAGATTCAAGAGTTAAATAAAAGAAAAGTTTTTTGCAAATAGTTCAGCTTTATCCTCGGGAGTGATAATAAAATCAGTCCCATGAATGAGAGATGGAATGATAAACCTATCTTTGTTAATGACGCTCTTTGATATTTTATAAAAGTCTCTGGAGCCTAGCTTCTGAGATAAGATGTGAGATTTAGTTATTTAGGAATAATAGAGCTTAGCAACAGACAGCATTTTTTTACATTGATTTCTTGCAATAATAAAATAGGCATTTGTTCTCAAAAGAGTTGTTTCTTTGAAAAAAATTGATTACAACTAGATATTGCAGCTGCTCCATGGAGTAGAATAAAGCTTGACTTGAAACTGACAAGAAGAAATAAAAGCTTCAATACCTGCCTAGATCCAGGAGCTTACGTAAAAGGAGCATTTTATCAGAGGAGAGAAAATACAACAACCCAAGGACTGTCCCGACGAAAATTGTGAAAAGAATCCCAGTCAGCTTTTGAGTAGTAGTAAGTAGTGCGATGATAGGGTGAGTCCAAATGATAGGGTGAGTATCAAGAAGAAATATAAGATGAAAGATTCATAGAGATCATTACAAGGTCGAAACTACCCAATGAAGAACAAGAAACTGAACACATACTAGGGTCAGAAACATGACACAAATCAAGGAGTGAAGGTAAGTTTTGATTAAATTTGTCTGGAAAATTAGTCAAAAAGTTAATTATCTGAGTAAGAGATTGAGATAAGTTATAGCCTTTAGTGCCAGCAGGGTCAGTAGTGTTAGAGCCAAGCCACTCAGCATGATGAGCATTAAAGACACCAATAACAACAATATTAGCAGTTGGGTAAAGAAAGAAGGCATGGTCAATTTGATCAGGAATTAAATCTAAAAGAGTACAGTCTTGAAAAGAACAATAATTAACAAAAAAAATGTTGTAGAGTAAAGAGGTGGAAGCATATAAAAGAATAGTCAAAAGATTCAAATCTGATTTCTCAACAAATAGGTTATTTGGTAAGTAACTCTCAACTAAAGAATATGGCTATTAGAGTCTTTGTGAATCAAAGAATAGTACCCATCAATCAGGCTTGGTCGGGAAGTAGGAGCCATCGCTCTCGAATACTGACCACAGAATTATATTTAGTTGCAAAAAACTGGCCAGGTTTTTTAATCATTTTGAGAACATTTAAGTTTAAATAACAAAAAATTTTTGTT